CCGAGGCGCCCCATAGATTCGGAGCAACCCCTGGTGGAGACAGGTATATGACCGGTGCATGAGGTTCGTTGGGAACGACTTGATCGGCACCTTCAGCAAACGCTCAGGCTTTGGTCCTCGTTCGTGAGGTCGAGAAAGCCAGTCTGCCTCCACGTTCCAGTTGCCCGGGATGCGCTGCGTCACCACTCGCTTGATTCCGTGCTTGTCGAATCGAATGGCCAGTTCTGCTCCCACCCAATTCACGACAGGTGATGGTGATGACAGCCTTTTCGTCATAGCCAACGCTACCACACTGTCACTGCGCAGTACGATGCCCTTGTTCTCCAGCCTGGTAGCCCATCTCCGCACTGCCAGCTTGACTGCCCATGCTTCTAGTGGGCCTTGAGACGCTGACTCGTTCCAGGGGACTCCCAACCATTTCGCATCCGCTTCCTCCAGCTGGATCTCGAGGCCCTCGATGATCGTGAACGAAGGTCCCATGGTGTGGTCCACCGTCGCCAACAACGCTCCAATTCCCTGTGGGCTGGCGTCTGTCACGATGGCGCATGGGTTCTGTTCGCAGCGCCAATGCCTCCGGGCCTTGAACAGCTCACAAACCACCTCCTCGGTAGCTCTAATCTTTTGGCTGCTATGTGAGACCGACCTTGGGTCTCTGGTCGATCCTCTTGGATGCTCTCTTGCGTTCCTCATCTTTGGAGCGTTTGGAGTCAGCCAGCGCAGCATACATAATCGAGACTGCCCAGCGACCCAGCGAGTATGTGGGAGGATCCCAGCGATCCAAGAGAGTCTGCCTGTCAGCTGCTGAACTTCCTTGAAGCTTACCATCCCTTTGGATTCCCAGGCTTCTAACGCTTGGGCCACCTCTGCCATCATCTTCTTTGGCACTGTCAACTTCACCGCGGCTTCTGCCTGCGCGAACATGACTCCAATCCACGTCAGCTGCGTGCCTCTTGAGCCCTTGTGCCACGCCAGGTTTATTCCCAACGCCCTGGCTGTGTAGAGCAGCAGTGCCAAATTTCTGTTTCTTCTTGAGGTCGGGCCGCGAAGAATCCACATTGGGTCATCCATGTAGAGCTGGCTTTGGAGTTCAGACGGTGCCACCAGGGATTGCCAGATTCTCGCCAAGCACGCCGCGAACCTGCCCGTCAGCAATGGCGCTCCCCAGGAACCGAACAACATGGCCACCCACATGAGTGTCTCTGACTGATGGAGTCCAGGGCTGAGGCAGTTCTGATGTTCCTCGGGATGCACTGGCAGGTGGCAGTAGGCATCGCTCAGGTCTGCCGTGACCAGCTCGAAGTCAAAGATACCTCCTTCTGGCCGATTACCATCCAGCTCCCATTCTTCATCCCTGGACTTGCTCTACGCGGCCGCCCGTGCTCCACAGGTACCGAAAGCCGTTGATGACGTCGACCACTCTGGGCAGCACTATCCTCTCAGGTACTCTGCATCTCGCATTGCCCCCGCAGCGTAGTAGATCGATGATGATCCTCCTCTTGACGCCCCCATCATCTTTGTTCTTGATCAACAGGGCTAATTTGGACACTATTCCACATTTGCGCATGGCCTGCGCCTTGCCCGTCGGGAGGACCACCGCGAAGCCTTCTTCCACCAGTCTCCCCAACTCTGCCCTAGCGTGCACCGGCTCATCCGTGAAGGATTTGTAATTGGTAGCCCCCAAGTGGTCCGCCAACTCCGGCATCTCTTCCATCTCCATTTCCGGGTCGTCCGCCATTGGGAAGATGCCACAACACGGTATGTCCTTGCTCATACCCAGGGGTACACCCTTCCTGATCCACTCCACCAGGTGCTTGTCCGGGTCTGCTGAGGCTCGCAACCACGCATCCCATAGTTCCGGGTCCAAGGGAGACTCGAACTCGTACTTGTCCTTGAGAATGATGTCGGTGAATGACCTGGTTTGAAAGAACTGCTTCAACGCTGACTTCCACATCATCTCAACCTCCATGTCTGGTTTGTTGCCGTCAGACCCATAGTTCTTGGCTATGTCCAACGCCTTTGGGAAGTCTGCAATGAATCGGTCCCAGATGCGTGAAACATCCATGCCCACCTGCCTGACCCTTGACAGTCGTTCTACAGCGCGTCCCGGATTGCGCATCCCTCCAATGAAGCAGTCGTTCTCCTCCTCCCGCCTCGCTTTCGACGCCGCAAGTTGTGGTCGGGTATCTTGCGAGGCTTGCGGCTTGAGACTGCTCCCAAACCCTCTTCGAAGGGTCCGCTGCTGGTCTTCCGTCGGGATGTTCCTGATAGATTCGCTCCTTGCTCATCAACCACCTCCTCTTCAAGTCAGACACCTCCTCCGTTTTGGTGGCCAGCCTATTCCGCCAGTACTCCAACTGCAGCGTGTGCTTGAAGGCCGTGATGAGCAGTTTGCAGTACTCCTCACGTAGTTTCCTTGGGTCTTGAGCTGCCGGGGCTGTTCGTTTGGCGCCTACAAGGGGTTCATGACGAATCCATTCGAAATCCAAGAGGCGCCCGGCCCAGCGCCCTGGTTTGTACCACCTCACGCGCTCCTCCTCTTGGTAGGCGCAGGTGTTATAGTCAGAAACTTGCCCCTCAAACACTTCCATGAATGTTCTAATCAGATACCTTTGGTATCTGATCCTGGGGGGTTTTCTAAGGTCCCTGCCTGTGGCACCCTGCGCTTCCTCTGGTCCTTCAAGATGGTCTCGATGATCTCCACCGATCTTGATGCCAGCAGGGTTCCTCATCGGCCTGTTGCTGCTCCTCCGGCGAGTTGGATGGTATAGATGTGCTGCAGTGACCTGACAGGAGGGGGTCCTCGGTTCACCATGTTCCATCTTGCTCTGCTAAACGTGTTGCAGGGGAAAACAGCATGGCCTGCATCAAACGCTGACCCTTCCGCTTCCTCTTTGAGCTCCATGAACGGGTGATCCTTGGTCAAGTCCACGTCCCCCTCGCCCAACTTGTCTAAGCTGTAGACTTCCAACTGCAGCCCTTCCTTCAGTCAGTGCCATCTCCTTCAAGCACCTCCTTGCCGCTGAACATGTGCAGGAACCTGACGACCCTGAGCTCTTGGTGCTCTGGGAAGCCCCTGGCCGCATTCAGCGCGTCCCGAATCCTCTCACAGGCAGCTCCTCCAGTTTGGGCTGATCAAGGCTCTTCGACGAGCCTACCATCTCCCCTTGGATCGTCCCTCTCGAGCCCTTTTGAGCCCGAGCTATTCGACCAATTACTCAAGTCCTGTCCGTCCGTCCCCACGTCCCCAACCCTCTCGAACGACAGTCAACCGAACGTGAACGAACCTCGAACCAAAAGCACCTTTCACCTGGCTCACCCCCATCTACCTAAAGACCACAAAACCCGCGTAACTGCCCCCACCCCCCCTCGCCCTATGCGAGAAGCAAACCGCACCCTTTCTCCCACCGCTCCCTAAGGGATCACACGGGGGACGCAGTCTTCCTAGGGCACTCCGCGTTTGGGTGAGCTGGTGAAAAGCACAGCGTGCATTTGTGCGCACGCTTAATCTGCCCTTTACACTCCGAGCCAGCGGCTAACCCCGAGCAGGGGCCTTTGGCCCAGCCATAGCAGATCTCCTGCTCAGCCTGATCTTTACCTTTGCCCTTGCCCTTGCCCTTGTTGAAGTCCCCCTTCGACCTCTGCTCCCTGAGCGTCGAGAGCTCCTCGCGTTCGGCCGCCCATCTCTTGCGTTTCGCTGTCCGCTTGTCTCTATTGGCTTGCCGCTTTCGCTCAATCCACATCGCTTTCACCTGGTTCTGCAGGAGGTCCCGGGTGGTGTGCCATAGCTATGCTTTCAGCGGGAGGCTTAGGAGTTCCATGAGCCCCACTCGCCAGCCAAGCTGCAGCTGGGTGCCTCACCTGCTCATTCCAAAACGTTTCATCTAAGGCCAGGGCTCTGAAGCATGCCGTCCACGAATCGTCTTCCGTGAACTCTCTTGGTGGGATTCCACCTGCAGCAACGTCCAGGACGATGTTCTTCCTGATCTTCTCCAACTTCTCGGCTCTTGCCTTATCATCCGCTTGCGCTATGAGTTAGGCCACTGCAACACCAGCTTCTCGATGACTTTCTCATAGAGTTGAAGCGCTGCCAAAGAGACAATGTTCAAACAAATGCAAGCCGCCTTGAACACCCTCCAACCTCACCATCCACTGCTGCAGGTTCTGCGGGCCGGGCAACTCTTTCATCACGAAGGACCCGTCACCTACCGGCATGAAGGTTTGAAACTTCACCCTTCTCCCAAAGGGGAGCCACACGGAGAAGTCCACATAGGGTGGCTGCTTTTGCACTGCAACTCTATGGTATGGCGCAGCCAGCTGTGCATCTGTAGGCTCTTCTTCCTCTTGAGGTGGAGCGCCCATCACTGCAATGTATCGTTGAGTCCATTCATTGAGCTTCAATGCATCAGGCAGTCTCGTCCATCAGGCAGTCTCGTCTCCGAGTCATCCGTCTGATCGACCAGGTTGGCCATCTTCAACAGATTCTCCTTGCTTCCTGATGCACTGCTGCTGGCGGTTGTTCTCGTCGTAGCCATTGCATCCACATGCCCACTACCTTCAGGAGGTCCCCCACTGCTCGGCATAGACCACGGGTCATTGTCTACAAACCTGTTGGCATCTCCTCCTCCTCTAAGGTGGACCACCCATCTGGCATTGCGCCAAACCAACCCCACTGCCATCAAGCGGATGTCGTTCCCGGGGTCCCCCGCGACAAGCAGGCTATTCAGGAGGTCGGGGATCGTCAAGATGTTTTCCGCGTCCGTCCGGCTCAACACAACCATTCACAGGCTCGCGCGTACAACGAACGGGGCAAAACAAGGGTCTTTCAAAACCTAGGTCCAGAGCCTAGGCTGAGGTGAGAACTCTATCCCACCCTCCCTCCATTAAACATCTAGGCTCGCTTTTGTCCCTCAGTTCATTCTGAACTTCTACATATATGTGTCATGAAGATGCGCAGCTTTGCAGTAAGAACTCCACACCACTATGTTCGCTACGTATTCTCCTGGGTCAGCACGTTCACCCTTTTGTCAATACGCCTCTTGCTTACGCCGATGGTAGCCGAAAACATCGTTAATCATCCAGCCCTCACCGCCTTGGACTGCATTAAAAAGTTGCTGCAATCACACCTATATCTCGAGGACCCCGCTGGCGAGTTCTTCATTGAAAGCCACCAAACGCCGGGAGATCTCCTGCCCAAACTGCGAGAGGGTATGATGAACTGTCTGGGGAAGAACCTCGGCAAGTTTATCGAGCAAAGTGGCACGTGTCTGGACAGCTAAATGATGTGTCTCGCAAGTGGAGCACGTTCCCGGCTTGAGCAACATGGCGCATCATTCTCGGCCAAACTGCCAAGCAACTGGCTGACAAGGGTCGAGGATTTCGCCGGTGCCACACCTTATATGATCTATTACAGCAGTAACTTACGCAGTCCTTCTTTGCCAACTACATTCACGCAGTCCTTCTTGCAAACCCTGCTTTCAAGTGCATCCTACTTTGTCAATTTTGCAAAAAATTGCACAACAACCTTATTGGCAACGTTTAGATTTAGGCTCGTCAGACTGCCCCAAACAAGGCTGACAAACTCGGCATTGGGCAAATATCCTTGGGGCGTGCCATTCAGTTGATTTGAAAGCAAAATTCTCAACAGCCCGGGCGTCGCCCGTGCTTCGCTAAAAGTTGCAAGTGCACCATGGGTTACAAACTCGATGAAACACAATTAAAAACGGTGGCCCCGTGTCCCTGCAATCATGAATCTGGTCAGGCTTGAAGCACTCGGGGTGCCACCATGCCACAGCCGTAGGTCTCGTATGATGGCACTCCCTGCTGGCAAGGAGCAAAAGCTGTCACTGAAGAGAAAATGACTACAGCCATGAAAGGCATGAACTTCCACTACCTGGAAGGTGAACATGAACTGACTTTGAAAGCTTGAACGGCTTGAGCTAAAGTAGGTACTTCTTCAAGACCAAGATGTACTGAAGGGCTACGAGCTAATTTACCGAAGTGCTAATCCTGACTCGCTTAACTTCTGGGAGATGTTAAACTCGGGAGGCGTGATCAGATGTAGCACCAGTAGCATGTACATGACATAGCTTGTATAGATGTATGTCTCACCGCAGCCGTTTGTGGTTTACTTTTGTGTTCATTTCGATACCAGAGCTCACGCGTGTTTGAGCTAAAAGTGTGCCTAAGCTTCAGCTACAACCTTTGGGACTGTGACCCTAAGTCACTGAGTTTAAGAGCCTAAATTCTCCGTTCAAATCTGTATGTCCTTATTAGTCCTTCCTGTTTCCTTGCAACTCCTTGCGCTTACCCTTGTCGCAATGAATTTTCATATTCAATACTATAAGTGCTAGACTGTAGGCTTGAATGCCTTCGGCACTAAGGTCATGCGCACGACGCTTATGCGCAAAGCTTGGGATCAAGACAAGCAAAGTAACAAAGCCTGCCAAACACTTAGATTTCAGCCAGCCAGACATGGAAAAGGTGCGGCTGTATGTGAGGACCTGCTCTGCTCAACACGGAGTCCACCCTCGTCTCATAGCAAACTTTGATCAAGTTTATAGCTCTCATTTAGAGCATGCCAAGTCAACGTTGCACAAGAGGCAATGTGATCAGGGCAAGATGTCAGACGTTGGGGTGTAGCCTTCCACCGCCAAGCTGATTCGGTCTATTCAGCAGGCTCTGGGTGTCTTGCAAGAACCTTCCTCAGAGGTGGTGGAGTATCAACCCAAGAACCCTGATCTGAATGCTGAGGGTCGGTTGAACCCGGTGGCAGGCGAGAACTACAACTATACATTGTCATGGGTTGACGGCCATGTGGGAATCGGCTATGATACTGCACCCAATGTGCATATGCCAAAGGAGGCGGTCAGAAAGATGAACCAGGAATTGAAAGGGGTACCTGGCTTATATTATATATTAATATATATATATATATATGTAACGGACCTTTTGTGGATGGATGCCAACTTTGCAGTTAGAATATCGTTTTAACCTTATATGTAGAGGTATCCATATAGAAAGAACGGTTCTCATCCTCCGTGTCCTTTTTTGTCTACGGGTCAGACAAGTTGTCCCAGATTGGATGATTCTTTGTGCAAGGTATTGCTCATCAAGCCGCAAGATTCAAATACCCACATGTGGTCGAGCGCAACATTTCTGGAATTTTTGAACTTTTTGAGCAGTGAATTGAGATCCCGGAGGATAAGCCTTGGCTTGGATGCTACAGCACAAGCTCTGATCATATGCTACCGGCCGTCGGAAGATCCCAGCAAGAGACCCGTCTTGCCTTTGACTGGAATACAGGGCGCTCCTCAGCGACAAGGCAGCTGTTCATCAAACACAGGCTTGCCAGCAGGCCAGGCTCCTATGGGAAGAGCAAAACAATGCAATCCCAGGAGGGTGGGGAGGAAGAGGAGGCCCAAATGACGGCTTCCATCAGCATTGGCATGCTTCGAGCAGAAGTTTCATGAAGGTTGCTGCACGGCTGGGTGGCTCACTCCGGCTACGGAAATCACTGGAAACCATGGGCATGAGCACCGATGGAAAACAGAGCTTCACGTTCCTTGGCTTAATGAGAAATTTTTCGATGAACTCCAAATGTTTGACGAGTAAGAGGTAGTGAGAAAATTGGATTGATTGATAACTTATATTATATTATATAATCTTTAGATGTATTTGTGCGCCCTTGGGCTGAAATATGCCTGCAAGCTTTGACATGATTCGAAAAGGCTTCCTATGGAATAGCGGCAAAGAGACCACCAAAGAAAGTGTTGGGAAGGCAGATAAACTTTGCCACTATAAAAGAATCATTGGTTTTGTGGGTTTCTTAGCAGAGGGTATGAAGGCGTGCAAGCACTCAATGAGGGATCGCTACAGGCTTGAAAGTCTTATGGAGCAGGACTATTCAGCTGAAGCAGCCCAAGCCGACCAAGCAAACAATGCCATTTTGGATGGAGAACAGACTTCCTCCTGGGCAGTTTTGGATTTGGACAGGATAGCTTTGAGCCCATCATGCTACCTTCATGGTTTCAGACCCCTATTGCCAGAACGATCATGCTTTGGCAGCAGGAACGTGAAGATTGGCAGAAGAGGATGACCAAACGGAGAGATGCAGGCAAAGGTGAGCTAGCTCCTAAACAGCAAGAGAACCATGAAAAATGGCTCCAGTCGACGTCCCGCAGGATTGTGCTGGACAAGCGGAGACAAGCTCAGGTCATGACATTGAAGGGCAAAACTGCCGACCAATTGAAGTCTTCATGCCTTTTTTCTTGAAGTGGTGATAGCAGCAGACCCAGAAGACATGCGCATCCGCTCTGGAGATGGAAAATACTTCAAGCTGATGTCGCTGGAGGGTGTGCAACCACAAGCTGAGGTGCCACATGTGCTTGACCAACCAGCAGGAGAAGCACCTCTACAAAAACAAATGAAACCTTTTTGTGTGTTATAGCTTTATATAGTGGCAGCATCAAAGTTTTCTGGGTGTTCGAAATATTACAAGATATTCCAAGCATTCTTAGCACCTCCACACTCACTATGTTTCAAAAAATTCTAAGTGCACCGTTTTTTGCATTTCTTGACAGGGCTGGCTATATATATATATATATTTAACTGCCAAACATTCTTCTCAATCCAAACCAATTCAACCCGGGAGGAGATGCACTGATGGACATAGATGGTGCTATCGATGAGCTGGAGGAGAATCCAGTTGCTTTGGACTAGTGTGGTTTAGATGAGCCACATGATGACGGTGACCGTGAACAGGACATTGATGGTTGGGTCTTTGTGGACTCTGATGAAGAGATTGAGGAAGAGCATGATGGACAGCATCCAGAACCTCTTCATGAAATCCACAAGGCTGTGGCTGCAGCCCACAAGAGACCGGAGTTCCTCGAGCTCTGTGAAGCAGGTCTTGCAAATCGACCTATAATGGTTGCAGCATAGGCGTTCATGAAGCCAATCGCGTGTGGCGAGCTTCTAGTGCGGGCAGCAAGCTCTATGGACGTGCGTGGGGGTCAAGCGCTGGAAGAACCCCGTGGCAAGCGGCAAGCCCTCACTCGCGTTTTGATTCTGATGCTGGAACATCACTGATAGGTTGGCAAAGAAACAATTCAGATCCCGGTAAGCCCTGAGAGATTCCAATTGCAAAAACTTAGCCTTTGCATTTGACATATATATACCTATGCTGGCAATTGTTCAATAGAAGGTCGCACACACACATATCTACATATAGACATATATTTGTATATTTGTATACTGTATATTGCCTTTCTTGCATCTGGCTTACCGTACCTGAGTGGAACCGGTTCCGCTCCAGCTTTGTTGCTCGAGTTTGCCAAGAATTCGATGATTTGCGTGACCTTGCAAGCCCAAAGAAACAAATATGCATGACCACAGAGGGAGGAACTTATATGTATTCATGTTGATAAATAGCAAGAGAGAGCTTTTCAACTTGGCTTGTAGTTAATGTTCTCTGTAGGCAAGCTCTGATGAGATTTCCAGAGCTGCTGAACTCCAAAACGGGAAATTGAGAAAGGAAAAAAAACGGATCGCTTGATATTCTGCTAATTGAAAGCACCAGAACCTTTCACTTTAGAATATTTCGATATAGTCTATATAGTTTTATTCCAACTGTATGGTTTCCCTCACCCTGCTCATGTATTCTAACTGCTTGGCCGTAACTATAAGAAAAATATCGGGTCCAAAAAGTTTTAGCATAATAGAGGACCCTTAAAACAAACAGGGTATCAAGAATTACTTTTCCAAAATTTAGCATTATAGAGGGACCTATTACTAATCAACGTCCAACATTAGCTTAGGACCTGAATTCAATGACCTGCTTTTGGGGTACCATCTCTGCTTCCGTGGTCTTCATCGCAATGTGCTGTGCCATATCAACATATTCCACCGGACAAGGCGCACAATATATACCAAAAAACTAAGAAATGCATTCGCCGGAAGGTAACATTCGACCATTTGCTCATTCCAAATTTGACGCCGTCCCTTTTAATTCACCTTCACTATCCCACTGTGTCTTAAACCAGTGAAGGGTACCATGGTGATTTTCTGTATTTGTGTGGATTTTTTGTTGGTCGTACATAGCAACCCTTTAGCGCCCCACGATGTGGAAGGGGTGAGCGTGGATCGATCGCGAGTTGGTGTGGCTCACGAAATGACTTTTGCATTAGAGGGGGGGGCCGATCAAATCCCCGTGGGACGGGTCACTTCTCTCAATTTGATCATTTGGATTCGTATCGAACTGCGGTAAAATGCTGTAACATTTGTGAGGTAGCTTTCCTTTGAGCTTGTCGGCTGCTGCTGCGGCTGCTGCTGTTGGTTTGTTGCTGTTGCTGCTTTGCTGCCAAGCCATGGATGACACCAACCACGGTTTACGCCAAACGGTGGTCTACACCAACCACCGTTTATACCAAATCAGGGTTTACACCAACCACCTTCTACACTAAACCACGCTTTGTACCAACCACCGCTTACACCAGCTTGGTGGTCTGCTGCTGCTGCTGCTGCTGCTGCTTGGTGGTATGCTGGTGGTGCTGCTGCTGCTTGGTGGTCTGCTGGTGGTCCTGTTGGTGCTGCTTGGTGGTTTGCTGCTGCTGCTGCTGCTGCTTGGTGTTTTGCTGCTTGGTGGTTTGCTGCTGCTGCTGCTGGTTGCAGCTGCAGCTGCTGCCGCCGCTGGCCGTCGGTTGCTTACCAACCTTTTGCCCACCCTTTGTTCTCAAGTTTTCCATGGCCAGTTTGGATTTGCTGTCTCTGCGCTCTGGGTTTTACGGGATGCTAAGAACAGGCGAGCTCACTTCAGTACGTAGCACCCGCATATTTGGTGTCAATACAGAGCTGCCCCTGTTCAAGGAAACCTACAAGCTCTTGAGTCAGCCTTTTTGACTTTCGACCGTGCTCACTACGGCGAGGTGGTGCCACCCATTGGTTTTCCAAACAATGATCATTTGACAAACTGCTGTTAGCCGGGCGGTGGCAAGCCGCTAAGACTGCACGGATCTATTTAAACGAAGGCATGGCCGTCTTGGCAGACATTAGGCTCCCCATGAAATCCTTCTCGCTTCTTTATCCGAGTGTTTCACAACCAGTAGGTTTCACCACACTTGTGCCCGCGTAAACGCAGGAAACAGGAGGACGTGGAAGGAGCTTTTTCTTGCCAATTTTTTTCGGAAAAACACCTGGCCCGGGGTTCTTTGCTAGGCAAGGGGGTAGATAGGAGGTTTTCTCCTCTCTTCAGGCTACGCGGGGATCAAAAGATTCGAACTGAGCTGAAGAGAATGGTCTTGCGAAAGACCATTGATCCTGTCCACCTAAGGGTCCTTGTTTTAATTAGGGGTGGTCCAAAATAGGGTCACCTAGGAAGATCTTCAAAACCAAAAAGTATCCAGTTTTTTTAAATCACATTAAGCTCGTATCAAAAATTCAAAAGAATCCAAATCGAAGGGTCATCCGTTTCCACTACAAAAACCTTGATTAGAATACTGGTTCTTCATTAGACTACCAACTAAAGCTTTGGAAAGGTGATGTCGCTGCGTTTGCGTGAGTCCGTGCCATGGGGGAAGGAAGCCATGCTGGTGTAAACGCGGCGTGTTATGGTGGATAGACAAGGCGGACAGAGGTGGGCAGTTACGGTTGTTTTTGGAACCTGTTAAAAGGAATTACCACAAAAATCGACCATGTTGGTAGTTTAGTAGCGGCTCGAAAGGGCGGTAGTTAAAAAGCAAATATCACCCAAATTTAGGGGTTCGGACATTGTGTCTTTTAAGTGGGGCGGTTTTTAAATAGGTACTCCGGATTCGTGTTTCTGTCAACTTGGAACTTTTTGTGAGCTACTGCGGGGCACTGTAAAATGAAGGGTCAGTGAGTTTATATATATATAATATATTCAAAGGTTATCCAGGACCAAAAACCAAACTACCTATACAAACATAACACAGGTTGATTCGGCATTAGCATTAGTATAGCCAAAGCAGCTCAAATTACTTCGTAGGTGTGAACGTCACCACATATACTGATACCTATCTAAACAGAAGTAAATAATGGATTGCGTCGGCAGCGCGGTCCCCGATTTTTCCGCCGAAGACGCGAAGCTCCAAAGACGCAAAGCTTAAGGAGCTTCAACTGAAGACGCGAAGCTCCGAAGACGCAGAGCTTCACAGCGTGCCTGAAGACGCGGAGCTTCGCCCGAAGACGCGAAGCTCCGAAGACGCGGTGCTTCAGAGCTTCACCCGAAGACGCGAAGCTCCGAAGACACCGAGCTTCGGAGCTTCAACCGAAGACGCGAAGCTCCGAAGACGCGGAGCTTCAGAGCTTCAGCCGAAGACGCGGAGCTTCACCCGAAGACGCGGAGCTTCAGAGCTTCAACCGAAGACGCGAAGCTTCAGAGCTTCAACCGAAGATGCGAAGCTCCGAAGACGTGGAGCTTCAGAGCTTTGATACAAGCTCTGTAGGGCCTTTTCACGGCAATTCACGGTGATTCAGGACAGTTTTCCGAAGACGCGGAGCTTCAAAAACGAAGACGCCAAGCTTCACAGCTTCAACCGAAGACGCGAAGCTCCGAAGACGCGGAGCTTCAGAGCTTCAGCCGAAGACGCGGAGCTTCAGAGCTTCACCGAAGACGCGAAGCTCCGAAGACGCGGAGCTTCAAAAACGAAGACGCGGAGCTTCAGAGCTTCAAAGCTAGCTTCAACCGAAGACCCGAAGACGCCGAGCTTCAGAGCTTCAACCGAAGACACGAAGACGCCGAGCTTCAGAGCTTCAAAGCTTCAAAAACGAAGACGCGGAGCTTCAAAGCTTCAGAGCTTCAGGAGCTTCAGACGCAGCTCCACCGAAGACGCGGAGTTTCAGAGCTTCAAGAGCTTCAGGAGCTTCAAAGCCAAAGCGAAGACGCGGAGCTTCAGAGCTTCAAAGCTTCAGAGCGATTCCGGGACCACGCTGCCGATGCGGTCAAATAATAATCAAATTTCATGCTGGAACTGTGTGGCGCAGGCACGCCGTCCGTCAACTGTTGTTCGCACTATTTGTCTCTATGTTTCTTGTCAACAGGTCTGGAAAATCGCACATCCAGGCTGCGATGCAGCATCCCAACACTCATGAACTGTGACATGGTATCACATGATGACTCTCTTGATTCCGTACTTATGCATTCCCCTGCGGCTGCGCGAGAATGCGCGAAGCTTGGCCAGCGACTGCAGGCGTAAATTTTGTCCTCCAGAACCTGAGTTGCGCAGATGCACCACTAAGAGCTGTTCCGTATTCCCACCGGAACGAGTCAGAACCGCCTGATTTAAGAACGGAGACTCAGGCCCGCAGCCGCAGGGCTTTGCAGCTCTGTTTTCAGAAATTCGATCTATATAGTTTTCAAAACAACATTTACATTCAACTCAACTCACCTTGTAGCGCCTTTGAGGCAATGAAGAACGCCTTGTTGCGTTAGCACGTCGGCCAACATTCGGTCGGTGCCTTCCTTCTTGAGACGAAACTCTTTCTTTGCTGTGCGCTCTTGTACCCAGTGGTACTGAGTGTCAACATGTTTAGCTCGTCCCAAGCCTCGACGGTTTCCCATGGCGATGCCAGCGGAAGCGTCCATTGTCACCTCTTTGCTGGGAAACAATCCCCAGTCTCTTGCAGTTGATGCGATTCCAAGCATTTGACATGCTCCTGAAACGAGTCCGTAGTACTCGGATTCGCCACTGCTCAGGGAGACAACTCCTTGGCCTTTGCTGTACGTAGTGAGACAGCATTTGTTGGCCATGAGCACGCCTCCTGACACACTCTTTCGTGTCCTTATGCAACCTGCATGGTCGGCGTCTGACCACATGTTGAAGGGGTTGCAGGTGCTTTGGTTTGGAAACAACTGTGCAACTCTTGGTCGATACCTGACATATCGAGCCAATCGTTTCAGCATATTCCAGTGCCTCGATGTTGGGTTCTGTAGACCTTGTGCCAACGAGCGCGTTGCAGTCTGCAGATCAGGTCGATCTTGTGCCAAATACGCGGCTCTCATAGCAATAGATCTATACATCGTTGCATCTTCGGCACTCAGTGGAACTTCTTCGTGTTGGGGTTCCTCTTGACTTGGCTTGGCCAAAGGTGTTTGACCTTGCCTGGTTGACCAGTGCCTAACCACTTGATGATCAACTCTGCATGTCTTGGATCTGGCTCCCACCAAATGCCTTCATTTGACCAGGTGATGATGCGATTCAGCACTCTGATCTGTTGGCTTGCCTTTGGTGAACCTGGTGGACCAAGAATGCCTCGTTCCACAACTTGCCATTCTTTGGCTGCTGAAGTGTGAAACCATTTGATGTCATCAAAACTTCCAACTGTCGTGAAATCGTCTCCACGCACCTCTGTTCGAAGTTCTCTGGATGCATGGTAGTAGATGCATGGGTTGGACTTGCCTTGAACAAATCCTAGCTTCTTCATAAACTCTGCAATGGTCAGCTCCCAATTCATGGGTGCGTCTCTGGTGCCGTAAAGGCTTCTGACCAATCTTCCTACCACATCTCCATCTTCTGGTTTCTTGCCTTCTGATGGAATTTCAACATAGAGTTCTCTTGTTGCTTTGGAGTAGAAATGAGCTCTCTTCACATCCCAAAATCCTAGGAATGATTGTTTTGCTTTTCTTCTTTCGCCTTTCTCCAATGGAAGGCTGTCGCTGACTGCAATGGTTAGCAGTAGCTTCAAAGCTGCAAGGCGCGGCATGGCTGCGAAAAATTCGTCAAAACCTGAGCCTCTTTTGATTTCTTGTGCTACCAATCGACTTCTGTAGAGAGGATTGGTTTCATCTTGCTTGTTCACATCTACCCATCGAGTTCCAATGATTTTGGTTCCTTTTGGAACTTTGCTTCTTGGGATCTTCTCCCAGACTCCCATTGATTCGACAATGTCGATTTCGTCTTTTCTGGCTTTCTCTACCTTCTCAGGTAGAAGCTCTTTTCCACTGATGTCATCGTAGTACCACCAGTCTTTTGCCTCTTCTGCCATTTCTTCTGGCAGTGGGATCTTCTCTTCACACACTGGTTTCTCTGGGTCGATGCTAGATAGCACTCTCTCTCTGTCTTCTAGGATTAGGCTTTCTAGAGCCATCTCAATGCTCTGGATGTCTCTTGTTCTCTCGGCTTCATCTTCATGTTCGCCTTCTGCTTTTCTCTTCTTGTCTCTATCTACTCTGGCTTTTGCTGTGGGTGATCCTGCTGGTTCATGCTGTTCTTCGTGCTCTCTCTTTTCTCCATGTGGTTCAGGTTCGCGTGGTCTGCGAATACCTGATGCTGAAGCTGATGCTGTGCCTGGTGTTGGTGGTGCTGCTTCTGGTTCGTACCAAAGTTCTGTCACAATGTCCATCTTGTGTGGTAATGCTCCATTGAGTATCTCTGGTGGAAGGTCTGTTGTCATGACTCCACTCTCGATGATTGCATTGTTTGCATGGTTTCTTGTGACTCGGTGCCAGACGGTAGACCAATCAGGTCCTCCTGGCATGGTGGATTGAAAACAGTAAGCTTCGACGTCAAGTCGTGCGAACACTCGACACGAATCGGGAACTCCCGATGGTCTTTTGCTTTCATATCCATGAAGGATTTGAGGTCTCTTGCCACTGACGGGTTGTGGCATGCCAGTGGTTGCCTCTCCAACTCGGCTTTCATGTCTTGCTACTCTTGGGTTCGTTCTCTTCTTCTTCTCCTCTGATGCTCTCTTCAAGTCTGTCTCGACACCTGTTGGTGTGATGGATGCCTGTAGATCTCTTGCCAATCTGTGTGGCATCACAAGCTGGGCAACCTGCAGTGTACCCAAACTTTTCCAGGTCTTTCTTGGTAATGTAAAGTCTTCTCAGCTTTCTTTTCTTGTCATCGATTGCCGGTGGTTGAACTAAAGCTTCACCACTTGGGCTGGCAATGATTGGTTCCCTTGGGGCTGCAATCGCTGGTTCTTCGCGAATTGCTTGAGGATCCCAGGGAATCCCAGTGATCGATTTCAGCAACTCTGAATCATATCGATCTTCTTCTGGCTTTCTTCGGATGGATTGCACTGTGAAAACGCCTGTGGAATTTCCTACTATCTTCTCTGTGGTGGAGTCTTTCACTCCTAGAAAAATTCCCTTAGTCCATTGGGCCTCAAACTTGTGACCTCTCTTGAGGTATTCGATGGCCTCACCAAATGGTGGAATTGCTACTTTCCATTCACGTCCACGAAGTCGTGAATACGGAGTCTTTCCGTCTTGAAGTTCGGTGGATCGGAAAAACAGATTGTAGACTGTGGATGCGTGTTCAACTAACCAGGTCAAAACAGGTGAATCGTCAGGAAGTTTCTCACCATAGTTCGACTCGATTGCGGCTCGAAGAGTCCTGGCTTGTCCTTCCAAGGTTTGAACTGCTCGTTCAAGCTCTCCCTTGGATTCTTTGACTCCTTTCGGGCTCTTCTCGATGATCAGGGTTCCTTCAAACCCATTCTTTACTGCCTCAACAACGGAGGTGAGAGCAGGTTCAGGATCATGTCGAATGATCAGTTTGGAGTGTCCTAGTTTCTTGATGTCGTTCAGAAGTACTTTGGATCCATATGGACCTTTTGTCACACCTTTGTAGGGCAACACATGAGCAAAAAGATGCTTCGTCCATCGATCTCTGACAACAAGAATTGGTGCGTGAGTCTTCTCGTCCAAAACTACGTCATCAGTCCGCGAGTTCATGAAACAGTAGTCTACAGTTACTACTGGGGTTGTCTCATCGGTGTGGTCTATCTTCCTGTGGGGGGTTGCCTTAGCTTTTCCCCTTACACAGGCCTCACACCAAGACCTAAAAGGAAAGTGTGAAACAGCATGCTCCTCAAACTCTTTTCGCGTCGGGCGAATGGGAGCATTGATTTTGAGCTCAGGCGGAACTTCGTCGCCTGGCTCGGCCTCTTCGGCCTGTTCGTCCACTACCGGACTTACCCATTGCGGTGCCGGACGAAAGGGTGGAATGCAATCGGCGCAGAACAGACGCCGTTGCTGAACGAGATCGGGATCTTAGTCCCGTCTCGGGAGATATGTCCACCAGATCCGTGCATCTGAATGGACCAGCCCTTGCTCATAAGGGCCCCCGCGGAGAGCAGCGGTTTTGCAACCGCCATCACCCGGAAACAGCAACGTCCATTGAGGGAGTTCTGGCCGATGCCGATGGTCACCATGGCATCGATCTTGCCAAGGTCCTTGACCACTTCGCCTGAGGCAGTCTTGTAGACTTTGCAGGTGCCTTCAGGCTGGATAGGCTTGTAGCCCAATGCGGTGGCCAGTTCAACAGGGATGCAGGAGGTCGCGGCTCCTGAATCCAAGGTCACCTGATGAGCCATTGGCGTCTCCATGGATGCCAGCTCCAAACTCCTGAGAGCGAGTGGATCTTCATCGCCTTCATCAGGCTCACTTGAGGGAGTGGGATATCGTTTTCCCTTTCCCTTCTTGGCCTCACGGGCAGCATCCTGAGTGGCCACGTTGACAGCTCGAGTCAACTGCACTTTCTTCTGCTTGCCCTTTCCTTGGCCCTTCTCGGAGGCAGCCGGAGCCGAAGCGGCTCGGCTTTTGCCCGGGGATCGTGACCGGGAGTTCACCCGAAGCGTCTGCCTTGGCGCTTCGCTGGATTCCTCTGGCTTGGATCCTGGTCCACGGAATCGCTCCATATGCTCTTCAGTTGAGCTCTTGAACCAGGCCATGCGTTCCTCCTTGGTCTTGCCCTTCTTCTCAGGAGGTGGAGGTGTCTTGGCAATGCGCCTTTGCTTTGGCGTCTTTGGGCCAACCTCATCTTCCTCCTCCTGTTCTTCCATCATCTTCTGCATATGGGCAGTCATGTAAAAAGGAGGTTCGTTCTTGACGGTCTCAAGCTTTGGATCTTTCATCTTCAAATGCTTTGCCACATCTTCGGGCTTCAGATCCATGTCGGCATCTTTCACATGCTTTGGCGCATCTTTTGAAGTTGGGCTGCCTTGCTGTCCCTTGGCAGTCTTGATGCGCTTTCCGATCTCTTTCTGCTTGATCGTCCATTCCTTTGCCCACTGGTTGAGGACTTTTGGTGGGCAGCAATTCAAAGCCATATGATGATTCCATAGGCCGGTGTCGTTGTCACACCTCAGGACCTTGTTGCACGCACGGCAAACCATGTTCTTGCTGCCATCTCTGTTCTTGTGGGTGCATTTGGCTACCCATTCATCATAGCTGAGGATGCGCTCTTGGAACATGTGATCGAGCCATGGCACAGTGTCTTTCTCTTTTTCTTCCTCTTGTCCATCTGACTCATCGTCAGCTGGCTCAGTGCCATTCTCATCCTCTTCAACTTCACCTTCAAACTCTTCTTCTTCTTCGAGTCCCTCGATCTCAGTCACATCAAGGGGATTGATGTTCTCCATGACTGGAGCTGCGAAGGATGGTGCGCTTGTTGCTCCTTCGCCGCGAACTTAACACGGTTGCAAGTTAGTTACCACATTTGCAACCAGCTTATACCTAAGTTATAGTCTACTTATATTCGGTTAGTAAGCTGGACAACGAGGCTAACTACTTACAACCCCAACCGCACAGTAGGGCGCCACACAATGCACACAAGAGCTTGAGATGCAGAGGCTCATAGCCCAGCAAAGTAAAACACCAAAGTCAACTGGTCCAATCATGAACCTCATGAACCTAGTCAGCCTCATATGAAACTCGTGAACGCCTCACACTCATGTCAACGCAGCCCACCACCGGTCCAATCCAAGCCTTCACCACGTGCACACCGGGCTGAAGGGGAAGCTGAAGAAGGGCAAGCCAGGCTTCAATGGACGTTTGGCTCACGCAAAGAACCCTGAAATCATGAAAAGAACCCTTAAACGATTGGCTTTGACCCTTCAATTAACTTAAGTTCTTGAACAATGAGGCCCCATGCAAAGGTCAAAAGAGAAAGGCGCACGGGAGGAGCCGCTGTGGCCGCATGGACGGGCGAGAAAGAAAGACTTCTAGAAGCAAAACGCAGGAACCAAAAAAATCGAATTGCCAACGTAGCCAGCATGTTTCGCGCTCCCCGGTGGCACGGTGCAAATCCGCATGGCACAGCGACATTGCGGACGTAATTTCCCGACGCCGCGTGTCACATGATACCACCAATCATCCCGCTCACCAGCAACACGCCGCGTTTACACCAGCGTGTTTCACGCTCCCCAGTGGCGGCGCCACACAAACGCACTTTCGACCAAGGCCGTGCAAATCCGCATGGCGCAGCGACATCACGGACGCAATTGCGCCACCCGGGCCGCCTCACACTAGAAGCAAACACATCACATGATACCACCAATCATCCCGCTCACCAGCAACACGCCGCATTTACACCAGCATGTTTCGCGCTCCCCAGTGGCACTGCGCCACGCAAACGCACTTTCCATCAAGGCCTTGCAAATCCGCATGGTAATGGCGGAAGCAGTAGGACTGATGCTTTGAGCGAACTCTTGCCTCCCTCGCTTGTTATGGGGGCGCTCCGCGATTCAATCAAGCAGCAGGTGTGGAAGAACCAGGTCTTGCAAATTTAGACTTAGCCAATTCATGCCAAATCTCATCTTCACTCCAGGCCGCTTCTGTCCTTCCATTTGGGCAAAGCTGAGAATGGTCTACTCTCCCATCGCCTGTGCTGCCCAGTTTCATCCCGTCACCAGCATCACAAACAGAAAACATGCCTCTTCTTTTTGTAAAAAACATCTTTTGGCATCTGCTGTCAGCGCAAAGCTGTGACGTGCTCACACATCCACTCTTTCTATCCTCACATGAGCGTCTGCCAAAACATACTGTCAAGCAAGGGACATGATCCAGCAACAAGTTTATCTTTTGAGGGGGGCCTATCGCTTTTGCAGGTTTTAGCCACAATGTCAACATAGCTGAACATAAACTGAACATACCAAAAGCTGCGGAAATAGGGTTATCACTTTTGAGGGGGGCCTATCTTGTTTGCGGAAATTATGTAATTTTAGCTCACTGCTCTCTACTAAAATAGTCATTGCACGTTTTGGTGGTTGCTCGCAGTGGCCAGCAAACTGTCCTCCCATCAAGTTCCGGGCTAGATTACTAGGTTGCATGAGGCAAACGCCCTCCCAATTCGCGGGTCCAAGTAGCGAAGTTCCAATTGCCTGCCACAGTAAGTAAATGCAAAGTAAATCTCCAAAGTCTGTTGAATACTTGAGTTGCGCCTCAGAACCTTTGAGCTCGAGCTCCCTCAAGCGCTTCGACGAAAGCTGCTCCTACAAAAGGGCAACAAAATGCGAGTCAATGGCCTAAGATATTCAGCTTCAGCTTCTTCGCTCATTTTCCCATTCGGAGCACAACTCAGGCTGGCTCCTCAAGCATCTCAGCATGCAAACGGTACTGCCCTGATACCTGTCAGTGAGCCAGGGACCCACTGCAATTTGTGGAGCTGCACACCAAAAAGATTTCACTGACAAACAAAAAGACAAACAAGTGTCAAATTGTCAGGTGGGTTGTAACTATTGTTACCAAACCAATGTTCAATTTGACCCAACACAATTACGAACTGAGCACTGAGCACGATAAGAAATACTTTGTTGGATGGGATGCCGGTCCAAAATGCTCACAAAGCTTCAGAACGTGTTTCTGAATTGTGTAATTAAAACCATTAGCGAATGCAAAAAGTCAAGTTGCTGCAGTCAGCTTGTGGATCCACCAAAACCCCATATCTATATATATATATATAAAATTCATTCGCTCTCCCGTCCAGAGTTCTCCCTTGCAGCTTTTTCGACTCATGCAAGTGGCAGGTCTCTGCCGCAAGGTAAATGAAAATGTCACACGTGAACGCGACTGTCAACGAAAGCTTGCACGACAACATGCCCACAACCAATATCATTGTATTGCACTGAACAGAAGTCTCAAAGTAACTACCAACAAGACTGCTCAAAGCGAGTGGTGCAACTTGAGAGCCGCCTGGGCGATGGCCTCACACAGTATTTAACTGGGTATGGTTGCGCCCTTCGGGTGAGCCACACACCATCAGAACCTTTGCCAACGTTTTGAGGTGAACCGACATCGATTGTTGTGGGTTTTGCAACACGCAGCAATGTCATGTAAAACCGGTTGCTTTCTTCCATGGCATACCATAGGCACAGAAGTCAAATCTAATGAACTCATGCAGCCCCTTGAGAGCGTAGCTGTCGCAGTTCCTTGGTCAGCAAGTGAAGGGATTCTCCAACACCCAGAAAATGGCCAACTCATTGCAAAGCTGTGTGAGGGTGTGCGAGACTTCCAAGAGACGATGAAGTGATCCGCAGTGTAGTCGGGGGCAGATGGGCTAAGGCGATGGGCCTCTCTAATCACCTGCGTTTGCCGGATCACCAACTCTGCTGATTGAAGACTACTTGGATTGAGTTGATCAACGCAAACCATCGACTCGAAAATCCTGGAGAGACACTCATGCTCATAGGTGCTGCGGTCTCCCTTCGGGATGTCGCAGCCAAACTCATGGAAAGACGAAGGGGTCATGGCCTGATCCCTCAAGCTCTTGCAGATGTTCAACGCAGTCGCCGGTCCATCCAGCTGAAGTCCTCCCCCTTGCGGCGCACCTTCGACCAAAGGGACTGCTGTGGCGAACTCTCTGCGTCGTACACCCTGGGCGTCAAATGCAACTGGCAAAGTTCTTAATCATCCAATGCTCCCGAAGCTGCATCGGTCTGCAACACCCGCTGAGCAAAACATCCCTCGACTCTCCCATGAACATCTGGCACTATCGCTCTATGCAACCCTCATGTGCCCAGCCGGCAGAGGAGTCGGCTCTGTGCAAATGATCTCACCTTTTCTTCGACCACCAGTTAAAATTGCCTCAATGGCAACCCACACATAGGTCCCTGGGGCCGCTGGTGCCACAGCTGCAGCTCCCCCGTGCCCACCTGCCCCAACCCCCAAAACACCTGGAGGCGGAGGGGGAGCAGGTGGAGCTCCGGCTGGAGGAGCTGGAGCGGCCACTGCCACTGGAGCAACTGGAGCGATCCCACGAGCAATTCTTTCGGCCTGAGCCTCAAGCTGTGCTCTCCTCATCTGATTCGCTATAGTTCTAGCAGCATCGGCCTGAATCCGTACACTGCGGCTGCGGGAATCCGACCGGGAATGTCATGTGAGCTACACAGGAATTCGAAGTCGACGTAGTCCGTGTCCGTGTTGAGATGGTCCATTTGCTCAATGTACCGATCGAGATAGGGTGTTAAAATCACCCAGTCATTGTTTTGCATGTGGGACAACAGAACTCGAGTATGACATTGTAATGGATGTTCACCACAGCTGATCAATGCCATGCGACTTGGTTGCATCTTCACCAACCAACTTCTATGCCACTAGGTCCCAAAACACCCTTTGTACCCTCTGAGGTGAGTTTGGAGCGACCGACGAAGTGCTCCAGCCAGTCTTGTCAACCACAGGCCGCCACGATGATCGCCCCAATGCACAATGCCAACAACACCGTCCAGATCCAAGCCCCTCCCAACTCGCAACTGCAGAGTGGCACGCGCAATGACAGATGTGCCCCCCTTCCTCACGATGGAGAGCCGCTCTGCCGTGCCAGCCTACCAGTCCTCCGAGGATCAAGTGCGCCACTGCAGTTGGTGTTGGAAAGGCGTCCATTGGCCTACCTGACATCTGCAGATTAATCACTTGAGCAATTGGGTAGCGGCCGTATTGCCCCTTTCTTCATTTCTGTCTTACAGACTCTGCGAAGCGCGCAAATCACTTTTCGCTTGGGCCTGAAAGTCGGTCCATGTACACTTCTCGTTTTGCGCTCAAGTGCATGGTGGGTGTTCGTCTACGTTTCGTCATGTCTTGACACCGCCGCACCGCCCATGCACTTTGCACAGTAGGCAAAACGCCTGCCCTTCTCGTAGAAGGGACATCGTGGTTCAAAGTGAATCACGTTCCCTGAGCTGCACACTCGGTACTGGCTGGCTCGCTTCATGAGCTTCAGCCCATGTGCCTCAGAGATTCGAAGCTCCTGGAGGTACTGGTTCCTTTCTTCACGAACCTGGTTCAACTCTTGCTGGAGCTCTTCTATGTACAGATCTATAGCTGGAAAAGCTTGTTCTCCATGAGCTCCCTTTCATCTTGCTCCAGGGCTTTCAAACACCAGTCAGCATGCGTCTCGACGCTGACCTTTTCTCCACTCTGGTTGTTCTCATCGTCCAGGTCTCGGTCGCCATGGCTTTTGCCACATAGTTCCAAACCATGCCCAGGAAGATGTCCTTGGTGTAGTCCCATAGCCACTTCATCGTGCCCAAGGCCCCAAGTCCTGCACAGACCACGAACGCGATCCATGTCCAGTCGATGGCCTGTGTGTTTTCTCCTCCATGCATGCTGCCTCCCACAGGCTCTCCAGCAGCCCGATACAAGTTTGACAGCAGCATGATCATACCCACATGGAGGTTCTTGTCCTTCAGGACCTTCTTCGTTGCCCTCTGCATCTTCTCCTCATGCTCAAGCTCAACTCATATTCTCCAACTCTATCGTGTGCTGCATTCACCACCTTCAGCGTGTAGAGCAGCCCAAAGAGTCTCTTGCGGGTCAAGTTCTTGGCGCCGATGTCGGCGCAGTTTGGCTCCTGCGGTGAGCACCTTGTCCTTCTCCTTTTGCTGGACCCACAAGAGGGATGCGTCTAGGTGACGCACTCGGCCAATTCCTTGCCTCTGCACCATGGCCCTTGCGGCTGAGCTATCTGACCGGACTCTCATCTGACATCCTTCTCCGGTCATCTGCATCCATAGGTGCTTGATCAGGAGGCCGTCAGAACATCCAGCTACCACTGCCACAAACTCTGACTCTCCTGAAGACAATGCCACTGACTTCTAGATTCTCACCCTCGATTCCATCGGGTTGCCTCGATGAAGATCCGGAAGCTTGTTGCGCTCTTCCTGTCGTTGCGGTTCCCGGCATAGTCAGCATCTGCGATCACCTCGATCAGACGCTCTTCCTTTGCTTCCACTTCATCCCCATCTCTCACATCCATCACGGACTGTCCCTTCTGCCTGCTGCCGATGCGCACTCCAAAGCCCATTGTCCCCTGCATGTAGGAGCACACATGGAATGCGCACTTCCATGCCCGTTGCGTTGGTTTTGCCATTGACCTTGCAAGGGTCTGGATGGCGAATTGACAGTCAGGTCGTTCTCCTGCCAAGTACATGAGGCGTCCAACCACACTTCTGAACTTTGTGATGTCCTGGCCTTCTAACTGTGGGGACTCATCCTTCTTGGCAAAGCTTTGGTCCATTGGCGTCTTCCTGTATAGGCTTCCACAGCAGTCTCTGCAAAGCCTGAATTCCCTGTTCAAGTAGTGGAATTTGTCTCCAATCCTGAAAGGGCCTTTCTCCTCGACATTCCAGCCCTTCGCCTGCAGATGCTTCACATAGTCTCGCAGGCTCTGTTCCTTCCCAACCATGAAGACGTCATCCACGTGGACCGTGATGTAGATCTCCTTGGCCTTCATCAGTAGGGTCGGTTGCATCAGGTCCTGAATCATGCCGTGTTCCGTTGCTGTGGATGCAAAGAGCTGGAACCATTGGGATGTCGCTGATCTCTGTCCGGGAAGGCATCTCACCAGTCTATAAATCTTCCCTTCAACTTCCACAAAAGCTCTTTCTTCTTCAGGTTGGTTCGCCATGAGGAAGGCGTCCTTTACGTCGAGGGTCATGGCTGAGAACTCTTTGTAGACGTTGAGCATCATGTGTATCAACATCTTGGGCAGCACCATGATCGACGTAGGCGCGAACGTTTGTTCGATGTCCACGCTGGCCTTGAACTGCCTGGCCACTAGTCGGGCCCTCCTAAACCATCCTCCTCTCTCTACTTTGTGCTTCCAAGTCTGGACGAACTTGGTCGAGATGATGTAGCCTCCACATTCTGCCACTTCTTCTCTTGTTGACCCTTCCATAGCAGGAATGTTCGGCATCCGCTGCACTTCCACCTTTCGGGCTTCACTGTCGAGCAGTTGGAGGTGTTCCGCAGACGTGATTGGAGGGTCCTCATCTTCTTCGCCTCCATACCCTGCAAAAAGGTCCTCGTTGATCTCGTCCGGGATGAGGTCTGTTCCAAGCTCTTCGTCCCCATGAGCCTCAATTGCTTGGATTCCTGCGAGACGATTTGTTTGGCGATACACTCGCCGTGACTTCTCCACTTTCCTCTGCTGTCCTCACCAATCCTCTGGCTGGTTCCAGATTTGAGCTCTCCTCAACAACACTCGTCTCCTCACACACCTTCTGCCTCTTTTCATCGCCTGAGTCTGATGCTCTCTTCTCACGACTCCTTCTTGGCAATGTTGTGTCATCCAACCTCTTAGCTTCTGGACCAGTCCCCTCTGTCTCGAGACTTCTCTTTGCTCTTGGAGTCGTCG